GTCTTAATTAAGTGGAAGAATTTGACAGATTTCGAGGCCACATTGAACAATTTGAAACACTCAGACTGCAATTTCCTAGTTTCCACCTTGAGGACAAGGTGGATTTCGGGGGCGACATGTAATGATAGGCCCCCAATCCGGTTCACCTATGCTAGAAGAAAGAAGATCAATGATCCTAAGGGTTCTGCCAATTCAGTTGAACCAAAGGCAGTTAAGTTAGTTAGAGGGGTAGAAATGTAATAGTCTGGAAATGCAAATAAATATGGAGGGAAGAGCAATGGGATAGGTATCGGATGTACTGATTTTCAATTGGGAATGGGAAGAGAGACGAGGACTCTCTAATAGCCATGAACTTGTATCCATTTCATCTCTTTTCATTTCATTAATAAACTTCTTGTTTTTCAACAAACTCTGTGAACTCTTCCCACCAATACAAGAAGAACATTGCATCCACTATCCAGGATTGTATCAGTGTGATGAACCGTGTGCCTAATTTAGGAATAAACGTAATGTATGGTAAGAATATAAAGTCTAGAATTATTTCCTTATTAGAGAGGATTATTTCCTTTTGAGAAATATCCTCTTCATGTATATATGTGTGTCTACCCGTTGTTATATTGTAATCAGAAATTGAGGTTTTTTCCAAATCGATTAACATGGCATCAGAGCGTGGCTCTAATTCCCTACCTGTTTCATCTCTCTTCTCTTGTCCAGACTTCCTCTTCAATTACCTGGGCTGTTTGGCCTATGTTTTGACGTGTCTGTTGCCGTTTCTTGATCGGGTGAGAGGCGTTTCTTGGTGAGCATGGATTTCGGCCGTCTTTCTACCCCTTTTCCTGGTGGGCTTGCGGATTACAACCTCGTTTGTGGTTCTAGTGACACGGTTTTGGTTGAGTTCTGTTTTCAGTGATCTGGGGAACGCGATTTTAGATTCTGCACGGCACGTTGGACGGAAAAAATTATGGTCGGACTTTTCTACTCTTTGGGTTCTACATTACGGGCTTTCTTTTGGTTGCTTTCTAGTCAGTTCGTGATTTCAGTCTGTATTTAATTGGGCCTTGCCTCGTGGTCAATTTAATTGGGCTTCTAAATTCTAGTTGTTGGGCTGCTTCAGTTAATTGGGTTGCATTATTCAATTGGGCTTCCTTTGAACTTGAATCTTGGTGGGTTCTTTATATCTATTGGGCTCTCTTTTTTGTGTCTTTTAGTTAATCATGGCCGAAAGTAATAAAAAAGTGATGAATGAAATCACAGTAACCCCATCCTCAAAAATCACAAATAGAAAGTTAATGGGCAGCAGGAATTATGCTCAATGGAATAGAATTATTTGCAGGTATGTGTCAAGTTTGGATTTGGGCGATTACTTAACCAATGACCCACCACCAAAATCTTATACTAATCCTGGGATTTGAAAAAAATGGTTGATGGAGGATGATAAACTTTTTAATCAAATTCAAAATACCCTTGACTTGACAGTTGACAATGTCAATAATCATTGTGATACTGTAAAATAATTGTGGGACTATCTAGAATTTTTATATGCGAGTAAACAAGATGTATTGCGTGTTCATGAATTGATGTTAAAGATTTATCGGGCTGAGCAAAAGGGGCGAAATCTATTTCAACATTATACTAAGGTAAAATAGGCATTTGAAGAAAAATGGGTCATGTTTCCTATTACTAGTAATGTGAAGACAATGTATGAACAAGAAGAACGATTGTGGTTTAGTGTTTTCTTACAAGTTTAGGTCCTGAATATGAGGTGGCTCATACTCAGTTACTTACCAGTGAGACACTACCTTCATTGAGTGATATATATATGCTCGTCTCCTTCAGGATATGCAAGGACAATGGCAAGGAATAGGGTGTAACACCAAATGAGATGGTAGCTCTAGCTGGCACAAATTCAAAGATAAATAGCAGTTACAGTTTAAAAGGAGGAGGAGGCGGGGGAAGCAGTCGAGATAGAATCTCTCGTGGTGGTTCTCGTGGTTGTTATTACTCTGGAAAGCAAGGACATGTAAGAAGGAAC